ATATTCATAGGTTGGGCCAACGTGAAATTCCAATGTTGGTTTGACGTTACCTCTCCGACTAAATTTTGCAACCAAACACCAACGTCGTACCAACGTCAGATATCCGACCCCGACGCTTACCGACTCCTGCCAACGTTTACCAACGCTGGGCCAATGTCGCTTTGCTAGCTGGGCCTATATTTGCAAAAGTAATTTCGAAAAGATTCCAAAAAAGATTTGGGCTTCTTTCGAGATAGTCTTGCATATTCAGACTGACCTTATCCTTTATTATTATGATAGCGTGTCAGTATCGATACTATTTTATTGTACTAACCAGTGGCGGATCCAGGGGGGTTCAAGGGGTTCGGACAAACCCCCTCTGTAATGAAACATAACAAAATACTACTGGGTCCCGGCGGCTTGCAAAAGGCCTGCTCACCTACAATAGGCCCTACCTAGGCATAGGTTAGCAGATCGGACAAACTAGGCTTAGCCGGCCTAAAGCATTCAATTAGATACAATTAAAAACACTGTTTTTGGCTCGATGTCGTAATAATTTATGTACGAAAGTGTGTTTTTCAGGCCTATCGGTTCATTAATCTATAAGAAAGACTACGTATCCAACTACTCAATATTGTTGGAATATAGGCCTAATAATGTATTGATATGTTTGATTTTCTTCTATGGTATAGGCCTAAGAATGAGATAAAATCACCTGACTGTTTTTTAAGAGATTTAAATTATAGGTTATTCAAAGACACCAAAGAAGTCGGGAAAGCTCATTTCCGGTCAGGAATCAAAATTTTCCAGGGGGAGGACCCCACCCCCTTTAATTTTCGGGTTTTTGAGAAAAATTTTGAACCCCCGTCTTTCAAATCCTGGATCCTCCCCTGCTAACATGGTTAAAAGTTATAAAATATTAAACAAAATTCCACACTTCGATGCACCTCCCACGTTGTTGTGTGCCACTGTTAAAAAAATTTATTTTTGAATAAGTACCCTCAAGGGCGTCGATTCGTGGTTGAAAGTGGGGTGGGGGTGGCAAAATACGAAATAAGAAAGCCTTGGGCCGTAGGCCCAAGGCTTGGTTGGGGGCCAGGGGCTGCCCAGGTGAGGGTCCAGGGGGCGAAGACCCCCAGAAGGTCTGGCGCCTATAGCCTTTTATAAGTTGTATCTTATTGATTTTAAGGAATGCAGTAACATTTACTTCCACACTACATTTTCAAAATACAGTTGCGGATCCAGGAATTTGAAATAGAGCTGGGCCAAGGGAGGGACTTTTACAAATGGAGAGTGTAGACCACCTGAGCCCCACCATGGTTGGGGCTGAGGTAAGAAAATTTATAATTATGGCATCTCTAGTTGACCGGTAATGGCACTCTCAGACTAAATTTGAATGTAATTTTAATTTTTCTCCACTTGATGGATGGTGGGCCGGCTGGGCCCCTTGAATCTGCCACTGAAATACATAAAAAGTTTTTAAGATTATCCTGGTATAATCATAATTATACCCGCTTATATATTTCGTGCAAAATAACATTTATAAAAATAATGATTTATTATCTCCTGATTAGCTTGTGGCGTATTCGAACCATGAAAAACATAAGATAAACTTAAAACAGTCATTACTTTAGTCTCTTCGCACGTACAGTACTTTTAAAATCAATCAAGAGGATTTCCTTTTATCCTCTTTTTGAATTTCACTTTTGTGCAAGTATTGCGACTACACTATTGTGAGTCAAAATACTACCGTCAAATTTACGATCAAACGGTACCGTACTAAACATTAGTTAGCATTTTGATTTCACAAGCATAAGGTGATTTACTTAATTTATCATTATCAGTATCGGCTCTAAGAAAGCGAAATAGAGGGGGGAAAGGGGAACACTTTCACAATTTGGGAAACTACATCACCTCAGCCACACTATGGTTGGGGCTGAGGTAAGAAAATTTATGATTATGACACCTCTAGATGGCCAGAAATGGCACTCTGATTTAACTTCTAATTATAATTTTCCTTTCTTTTTCCATTTTTCTTTTTACAGTTTTGACTAAAATTTTTTTTTGGGGGGGGGGGGAAGCGGAGCCGGGTCGTCACGGCCCCACTTGAATCCGCTACAGATTATTATGATGTCATTTTCGAAATTACGTCAACGTAACACTGGCGTTTGTAAATTTGTGTTTAAATAAATCAAAATAGACAGACCTGTCTGTGTCAAAGGCTGTATAATTATTGTTTAATAACGGCTATATAAAATTCAATTGACTAGGCCTAACTATAATTTTGTTGAAATTAGAAAAAAACAGAAATCTACGTATGCAGATAATATTTAACACAGTATATACGTACGGGTCATAATAAACAGAAGGAATAAATCGATAGTAGAAAATGTGCACTTTCCGTTGCACCCATAAATTCGATGTAGTGGTTACTGAGATGGTTACTAAATGTACAAACAATTGTGTTTTTACTCGGTTTTGGTCCGGAAATACGCACCGCACTTGGAAAAGTGAACAGACAAAATTCATGACAGTCATGCGTAATTGTCATTCTTTCCATTCGCTTTGAAAAGTGGGGTTTTAAAATTTATAAGATTGGTCAAAAGTGGAGGGGGGGGGCAATTGATATCATGTCATCTCCCTACATTGAAAAGTGGGGAACGTGGCCCCCTGTACCCCACCGATCGACGCCCATACCCTACTAAGCCCTATGGTACGACCTACGTCGATGCTACAAGCACAGAAACGCTAAAAGAGTGGGAAAGATCAGTTGTCTCAAATCGGATTCGATATCCCAGCAAAGCCCCAGAGAGGTTCATTTTATAAGGGCATGTCCACGGACAGCGATTAATAGTTCCATTTAGGTTCAAGTTTAGATACATTAATACATTTTGAAAATATTACAAAAATTATATTATAAACACTAACATGAGTACTTGGTGGACGTCGACCGCGAAGCAATCTACAGATACTGAAGGGATAACGAGCACCAGAATAAGATAGAATAGATAACAGAAAGTTTGGGGAAGGCACAAAAACATTAGACCCTACCGCACAACTGTCGGGGGCGGACCCAGAAATTTTCAAACAGGGTGGGGT